GTCACTTTTTAGCTGACTAGTAATTAAACGAATACACGTCACCAACCTTTAGTTATTTATCTTATCTCTCCCACCTGTCTTGAAACACGTGTTGAACATGTAAGAAGATATAATATATTTGAAACCCAAGTAAAACGGTGACAATATACTGTCCTTTTAAAACGTTTCCTCCGCTCATTTCTGATCTCATTTAGGTACGGGAATAGCCATTGTCTTGCAATAGATCTAGGGAATGTGAAACTGAAGCGATATAGGCCCATAGGCATTTACTATGTAAATATGCACAACGAAAAAACTTTTCACAAAGAAATTGCATATACCACGAGCTAATCAATCAATCAGCAGGTCGTACGATTACATCATGCATGAAAAGTTCCATGACCTTCTAATTTATTCCATGGTATAGTATGATCAAACATCTGCTGTGTTACGCAATCGATTTTTCAGGCATGTGATTTTATTCAGAAATTTTGGTCACAGTAACAGGTCGTACGACATGAAAAGTTCCATGACCTTCGATTTTATTCTGTGGTATGTGTATTACGAAGTAATGACACTCTCATGTGCCTGATCGAACACCTGTATTACGCAATTGATTTTTCAGGTATAACGACATTTTCATTAACAGAAATAACAAAAAAATAATTCGAATGGTTCATTTTATTTAATGATTTAATCAAGCGAGATAGCGAAGCCTTTAGCATAACTAAAGAAATAAAGATACATGGATAATAATAGCGGAGTTACATATTGTTTTCTTACGGCAGAGTTGCAAGGGAGAGAACGTACGGCCCCTAGACCATTCAATGTACGCCCCTATACTTTGGCTCTACCAGATTGAAAACTATTTATTATTATCGTCATAATTTATCTCCCCATCGCCACTATTGTCGTCGCTAACTTCTTTATTGATATTATTATTGCCAGATGCGGATTTATTTTTTCTTCTAGTCTTGAGCTCGATCCAAACTTTGATCGCTCCTATAGTCCTGGCGTCGGGTTTCGTTGTTTGATTATAATAATTTTCCACCGCTTTGTTCGAAATAACCTTGATCTTTTTCTCCTTTCGAAGATCGCTTACAACTTCAGCAATCATATCGGCTTTAGAATAATCCTTTTCTCGCATGGTCTCGTCGAAAAGTTTTTTAAATTTCTGAAAAAGTGGATCTGAAAACGAAGTGCGTCTTGAACCCACTATGATATAAAAATATTAAGTTATTGCAAAGCGGGCCATAGGCGATTACCCGAATCATGGTTCTTCGAGCCTACTATGAGTCTCTCAGAGTAACAGATATTTATACGTTGAAATAATCTTACCTCGAGAACTACTTGAAAAATTTCTTGAATCATTACTCGAAAGATTACTCGAATTATTATTTAACGTATCATCTTCCTGAAATCTTTGTTGTTGGAACTCTTCATAAAACAAAGAAATTTTTTCGGTAAGATCATCAATTTTATTATAGATTTCATTAGATTCGTTTTTTCGTTTCTCTTTTAATGGTTTGAGTTCCATATCAATTTGTTGTTTGAAAATATAGAAAACGAAGCATATGATGACAATGAATAGGTATATAAATAGTTTTTCTCCAAATATCAACGTTACGATGAGGATAAATAGAGGAATTAAAATAAAATAACTCTCTAATGGCATTTTTGAGAGAGCTTCGAAAAATTCAGTTGTCGTCATCTAAAATAATATCAATCAGCCTGGTGGAGTATAACGAGATACAAGCAGTATATTGCATAGCGAGCCTTTAGGCGATTCTTTGAATCATGACCCTTTAGGTCTACATACCTTGATTTTGACAAATGTAAGAATGATATTTATTCGAGTGTTATAAGTAGAAGGAATAACCTCATTCGAGCTATTTTTATATGCATTTTAGAGTTTCTCCAGCGCGGGTGATCAGTTGTTAAGGATACACGTCATTAAAGTTATCATTGGTTTTTTCGAATTACACGGCCGACTCATTAAAAATTGGATATTACCTGCGCCGATCCTAATTATTTGTGAATTTTATCTGATAGGGAGAATCAAAAACTTTGACACATCTCATACGACGCACAGGCCCTCATTCGATGTAAAAAAATAAGCTTAATCGTTTTTATACAACAACAAATAGATGCCTTTTTTTAACACGAATTATATCTGGTTTATTCCCGCCTTCTCTTTTACTGATCACGTATATGAGAGGAAAAAGGATTTCGTTCTAAGTAATTAATTCGCTAAGTAATTAATTCGTCGCTTCATTAGCGGAGCAAGTACCAAAGATGCTATGAATTCGCACACAAAACAACATTTTAGTTGGGCAAATCTATTGCAATTAATGAATGTGGGGGATCATGATGAAAAACGGATTATGGTGAAAATTTTGGCAGATCATGAGATTATTTGGCCAGAATTATCGATAATTTCTTATAATAAAAGAGCAATATTTTGAAAATAATGATAAATGCATAAAATATATAACTTAAATCAATTTTGCAATAATGTTTATATTGCTAAATTTATTAATATAATTGTTACAGTATTTATAGTTTATAATAATAGATATTGCAAATTTTATTATAAGAAATTATCGATAATTTTGGCCAAATAATCTCATGATCTGCCAAAATTTTCACCATAATCCGTTTTTCATCATGATCTCCCACAATAAATATAAAATGAAACGTGACTTATTAGTGGTTCGCAATTCTGGATCGGCACTATTATGATTCACATTTTCGGGTGATTGCATGATTAAACATCTGTGTCGTAATCCCTATCGCTGGAAAATGTGTGTAATACACCCGAAATAGATTATGCAACGATTATCCCAAATGTAGATCCACACACCCGAAATAGATAATATTACCCCAGCCCAAAATATGTTTGCATCACAAAATGATCATTGGTTTGTATTTCCAGCCAATTAGACGTTTTCTGTTACACATCTTGTTTTCTCATTAAATGTCAGAAGAGAAACGGACTTATAAGTAAACGACCATTACTGAAGTAGCGTTTAAAATTTCATTAACCTTGTGCATTTTCCAAGTTTATATAGGTGGTTGCAAAATTTACATAAACCAAACGACCCATTCAGCTGGCTAAACAATCTTAATGAACCATGGATGAGAAAACTTATAACGGAATTCATAGACCCTTTCAAGTATTATTAAGTGGCTGTTCAGATACGGTCTAATGCAAAAAACGTATTTATTAAACTTATTTTTACATAGACACCAGGGAATAGTAACTCCGTACGGCACAACGGGAAAGATGATAATACTATCTCAATTTCGTCCGATCTTGGCGATTACAGTATGGGATGTCGTATGCTTATTGTGGACATACCACATAAATCGACCTCCAAGGACCAAATTCCAGGACCAGACTGTATATATGGAGAGAATGTTGAAACTTCTTGTCAGCAAGATCATAGAAATGGAGGAGAACTTGCTTGCTCGCCCAACCACAGTAAACCTCACATTTTCGGTTCGGAAAGGGAGGATTCTGAGATATTTCTTCGGGGCAACAATTCGTTGCGGGACAGCAGAAGTGAGACAGATGAGAGAACAGATATACGAAATGAACAAACTAGTAGCAATGACAAGAGTGAAAATGATGCCAACATTGTTTTCGAGTGTTCCAATCACGAAGCAATCAGACGACTGCAATTATCCGTGGGGAAATTGTTCCGAGACAGTACCTTGGAATGCTCTACATGGGCAAAGAAAACCGCGGAAACGCCGTGCCATCTTGTACTCCCAAACGATGACTCTAAAAACAATGAAGACAGTTCTTCCGTGTGCCCAGTGTCAAATGGTGCAGAATGCGATAAATCATCGTGCATTAATTCACCCATGTTAGTTGAAAGGTTAAGTGAATCTGATAGTCGTCGTGTGGCAACTTCTCTTTGCCTTCGTCTTCAAACCGAAGATCCTGAAGAAAATACTATGATGGAGCTTCAGTGTTACGTAATGGATGTCAAACAGTTTGGTTTTAATCATATTATTGTTATCGGAAAACGTTATTTGGGGATGCTTTTTATGGATTGCTTTTGTCGTTTGTTTGATTGGGATTCAAATGCTCATGCGTTATGGTATCGCGGGGATTATTTCGAAATTATATCAAAGAAGGAATCTGAAAAAAACTATGACGATCGGACAGCATGGGACGTTTTAAAGGATGGAACTGTGTTTGTGCTACATAAATGTATGTGCGTATATGTTTTGCTCACATTTTACCTTAATCTTTTATAACTTTTTCTTTCTTTCAGATGTGCCAGGAGAATTCGACATTTCCTCAATCGTGAACGATACAAAAAAGAAGACAAAAAAGAAAAAAAAGAAAAGGCGTCATTGACTTGGTGGAAAATGCAAAAAATCAGTTACACAAATAGTCAAGATATGATGGAACATACATAGATCTATTATACAAATAATTAGATGTTCTATGAATTGTATATAGTCGATCAAATTTATGCAACAAGCTAGCTATTCGAATTTATATATCGACATTATCAGTTTGCTTTTTCTTTTGTCGCAATTCTATCTCTTTCTGCAAATTCAATGGCGTGTCGAATCTTAACCGAATTGCTAGAGGATCATCCTCCGACCTAGTAAGATCAAATACAATAAATTCATTTTTTCGAAGGTAACTATTAATAACCATTGATGCATTCTTAACATCATCAGTATATCGACGAATAATTTTTGAAATATCTTCATGGGAGCTACCAGAGTTAAAGATTACTAAGTGAGAGGCGTTTTGACGAATAATTAATGGGATATGATGATATTTTTGTGCCACATATATTGGACTTATATTACGATGACGTCCATGTGTAAAGAATGGAATAATTCGATTTTGTATTGTCTCTGGAGCGACACATAAATCCTCAAAAATAATTGCAGTACTCCTCTCTGGAGAAAATGATTTTACGCTAGGAATTTTTTCAGGTGAGATATATTTAAATCTAATATTTTCGTAGTATGGTGCTTTTGGATCACTTGCGATTACTCCATAAATATATCTAACAAATGCCCATTTAGGTTCATCTGGGTGGTATCCACAAACTATCAAATCATCACATCGTATATAGCGGGATCCACCTTTTTTCTTTTTATATATACATTCACCTTTGTCACCAACAAAAATATTTCCAAGTATATTAGTTTTACCCGAACCACTCTTACCAATAACTACCTTACTGAAAGGCCATGACATTGCTGGATGTCCAACATTTCGAATTGATTCATGTTTATTAGCTTCATCTATATCCATAAGATAAAGTTTCATGGGTGGTAAGCTCGATGAGCCATGATCCTTGGATCGCCCTTCGGGCTTGTTTTGTATATCAGATGAGTTGGGAACTCGAAGCACTGCTTCCTGGGAATTCATAACTATAATTTCTATAAACTGGATAAAAAATTCCTTTCTTTTTAATACCCAGCCCATATATTCTGCAACTGCTTGCTTTTTCTCTCAAATCCCCATGTACGTCTCAATACCACGAACCACATAACCGCAATAATTAACAGAGTAAGAAAAATATATGCCGATATCGGTGACATCAAAGTGCTTGCCACAATGGGAACTGTTCCTATTCCTCCCACTGAAATCTGAGGATGCGATTCAATTAATGAGGAGTTACTGTGGAACAGGGCATTTTGTGCATGATTTCCTGGCTTTGCAAGATAGGGGGTCACGTTCTTTATCTCTTGAACTGGTAATATATCTTTACTAATTTCGCTAATGCTATCACTTATCTTGGGATTGATCTCGGTATCATTTTTTGATAGTTCGGTAATCTCACCATCGATTTTTTCTATTGGATCCATATTTTTTCCACGAATAAAATACTTACTTAGATTTTTGCTAGATGAGGCATAGCCTCGAATCTCTGATTCCTCATTAGACACGTAAGTGTCATGATTCAGAGAAGAGACAGAGTCTCGAATTTCCAATTCATCGCCCGATGACCTGCTTTGCAATACTGCAGATATATCAGATGCGATAGCATCCTCACTCTGTGAGTCAGACTCGGTCATATTTTTTATTGTGGGAACAATGAGGCTCTGCCCCTCGTCGTTTCCACCAAGTACGGGGTTTGATATAGCCTCCGATTTCAGACACTCAAGACCACTAACTGTTGAAGCTAACTCCCGTTCCACTTCAGCTATTTTGGATTTAAGGGATAGATTCTCAGATTCCGTTTTCGATAAGTTTTCCTGAATTGAGAATGCATTTTTCTGAGCTGACGCTAACTTACTATTTAATATTTCGTTCATTGACTGGAGTGATTTTATTTTTTTCAATCGAATGATATCCTTGGCTCCATATTCAGCATTGGAAATCTGTAATTGATTAATTTGAGATGTTAAAGTATCTAACTCTGAGCTCAATCGCTTAACCTCATCTATAAGCTGGTAAATATGCTTAGAAAGTTTCTTTTTATCTTTATTGGTTTGATTTAGATCAAGTTGTAATTGTGATTTATCCTGTTTAATATTTTTACTAAACTCTGAATATACCTTCCGGTAGTTTTTAAAATCCTCAATAAGTTCGGAATTAGTTATACAACTATCACGTAAAGCTTCTTCAAGTTCTACTTCCCTAGTACTCCCAAGTCGATATCCTTTTGATGAGTTGATATCTTGCATTGTACGTACATTGGTCATAATTATTGATTCAATATGTATTGATATTTACTATTCCTATTTTTTAAAAAAGAAACAATATGCATCAATACTCATCAATATTCATCGATACTTATCAATACTCATCGATACTTATCAATACTCATCAATATGTATAATATTGGAATCAATGCGTATCAATACGTTTTGAAAAAATATTGATACTTTTTTTTTCTAATATACAATATATATCAATCTTAAGATGATTACTCATATTCAACAAAAATTTTATCGATCCAATGCGACTCAATTATCCGAATCTGATATTAAAGAAATTAGAGAATCACGGGGGAAAGTACCAAATGCATCAAAGAGAATGGCAAAAAAATTTCATATTGGTGCACGTCGTGTTTATGAAATATGGGAACATAATGAGCGTCTTCAACAGGGTCTTGATAGTTGGGACGATTCTCCACCTTCTGATTCTCATAATAAGAAACTTTCAGCCATAGAAATATCGATTAATGAAGCAAGTACTAAAGTTGCTAATAATATAAAATCCAAGCCCAAGCTTATTCATAATTCTGATCAATCTTCCTTTAGTAAAGGTTCAATCGATAATGTAAATAGAATATTAAAAACAAAAAAAGAAACTATACTACCTGAAATCTCGCAAGAAACTGAAAATCCTTTGGAACTCTTTAAAAGAATACAAAAAGATGCTAAAAAAAGTAGAGCAGTTGCACGCGCTGATATTTCTAAACTATCTATTGCAGAACAATGGCTTAAAAAGCCTACTCTTAATTCGAAAGTATAGAATTGATTTCTTCTTTATACTGATTACGCAAATCATTATAATATCCAATAAATTCTGAATTGGTTTGAACACTAGTAAATAGTGCCCTTTCAAGTTCCTTTATATGAATGGTCATACTTTCACAATTTACGCATTTTTTTTAACTCTTCACTAGATGAATCGGAATCCAATGTTTTTGATGACTCTGTATCTTTTGGTGATTCTTTTACTATTGGGTTCTTGCTGAATGTTGGGATAATGTAAGACTTACCATGTAACTTCATTCGGAATTGGTTTTTATTTGGGTCAAGAATACCTTGAACTTTTCGAATCCATGTCATACCTAAACATAACATTGGTTCAGGTTCACCATTATCAATACGTGTAAAATTTCCAGTAGCTGTAACTGTTTTACCATCCTTATCCTTTATACTGACTGGCACATCCGTAAACCATCCCAACGATTCGGTGACATGTTTAGAGTTACCTTTTATATCGAAGTCAGATGGCTTGTCGGCTTTCCATCCGAGGGCATTAATTGTTGCATCATTCAAGGCTCCAAATTCACTTCCATTATCTAAAAAAGATTCAGAAATAGATAAATCGTTTATCCTAGCATTCAGGTATTGTAGAGATGAAAACCACTCATCTGATTCTTTTTTCTGAACTGTATGAGACTGACACATTTTTCGCATTGCTGGTGAAAGCTTAGACAATAACTGATCATATGTTTCGGGGTGGATAGTTGCTAGATCAGAAGAAGGGTTAGCAGAGTTACCAGGTAAGTTTTTATTTACTGGTACTCGTTTTTTTTTTCGGAATCATCATCGTACCATATATCATTTTCTTCATTATATCCACTATTTTCATTATTAGCTGAAGAGTTATAATTTATTGGTTGAAAAGGATAATATCGTTGTGTTCGATTTGATTTTGCTATCGGTTTTTTGGGTTGATTGTTTATATTAAGATGAGATAACATATGCCCAATTTCATCTACTTTCTCCTCTAATCTCATAGAGTTATCTTTTTGCTGTGGACGAGATCTTTGAAAAGGTTTTTTAGGATAATTTGAATCTAAATCTTCTTTACTATATATACCTAAATCATTTAAGTGTTTACCTAAATAATAAGTTTCATAATCTTCTTTTGTAATTAAATTTGATGGAGGGGCTCTTGGTTATCTAACTGGTTTAACTGGTTCAACTGGTGCCTGAGTTTTCTGCGCATTTTGGGATTGAACTTCCTTTCTTAATTTTTCTATCTCAGCATCAGATTCAGATTTCTGCTTTGCTAATGCCTCATTAATCATTTTTTGTATATCAGGTGATTGCGAAATTACCGGAGCTTCTATTATTTTAGGGTTATAGGAAGATTGTTGATAAACTTTACCTTCATTCAAATTTGGAGTACGTTCTAGCCACATATTTTTTAATTCAGTGAAAAATACATTAATACCAGCTGGATTAGCAATTTTCATCCACGTATAAAGCTCACCTGGTAAATGATTTTTAAGAAAACCTAAAACTTGTGCATCATCATCCGCTACTCCTATTATTAGTAGTCGAATTCTAGCTTCATAAGTATCGGGAGTATCATAAGGCTGATATCTTTCTTGAGTCAATCTTTGAATTGCAGATTGTTGGCTACCTATTGTTTCTCTTTGATATTTGGCGTTTAAATAAGCTCGTAGTGTAGCGGGTGTATTTATAGCAGGATTACCTTGAATAAAGGGATCATCAGCTGGTACTGGAGCAAATTTACCTCCTATTTTACTTTTTAATACATCGCATTTAACAGCATCATTGAAATCTCCTGCATTTACATTTTCAAGAGCCGTCATTTGAGGTACTGCAATAGACCATGCTTGTTCTAATGTATTTACATAATCATCAGGTGGCATTTGTCCTATATATTGTGGAATTGGTTGAAAAGATTGGTATATCAATTTTAATACTGGTCGTCGTCTACCTTCTGCCATATTTTGTGGATTATTATTCTGTAAATTTAAAATTATTTGATTCTGATTTAAAATCGTTTGACGTTCATCTTTTGTTTTATTCTTCCATTTTTCATATCTATCAAAAATTCGGTCACGGTTATATTCTAATAACCCATTTTCAGTACGACATTTAATTAACTGCCTTTTATATCGTTGTAATAATAAATGTAAAGTAAATTTATCCCGTTGTAAGTTTATAACATGTCTATGTTTATCTTTATAGGAATAGTACCAGCGACGTCGTTCTTTTACTTCACCACTATATGCAATAGTCATTAAATTAAGATCAGCTTCTGTATTTCTTAATTCTGTTTGACGTAGGTCTCGTTCTGCTTCAGCATTATATCTTCGTTGTTGCTCATTTATAAGATCTGTTTGAAGATTGTTGTATTTGCGACGTATCTGTCTTGTAACTCTTTTTATTTGATTGGATAAAATCAATCTATTTATTCCTGGATTATCCAAATAACCATCAATAGTATCGGCTAACTCAGTTATTGTTGCCATATCTGGATCAGATGTATAACTATCTTGAGAATTTTCATCTGATTCATATTCATTTTCTATATTCCATATCTGAGTATTTCGTAACGCTTCTTGAGTATTTATAAGTTCTACTCTATCTCGGTATCTTAATAATGTTAATGCAAAGTTTTGACAATGTAAATCTGTAATACGAGTTTTTTTCTGAGCTAATTTATTGTCTCGATCTCTAAGATTATATTTTAAAGTATCGATTTCACGTTTGAGACGTTCATTCTCATCTATTAACTTTGCCGTTTGGGTATATGCTTTAGGAGTATTACCTGCAGATTTTGATATTTCTCGAATTCGGGTTTTGAGTTTTTTTTCTCTTACATCAAATTCAGCTAATTGATTTTCTCTGGTAATAAGCTCTTTATCTTTTTGTTCGATCTCCTTTTTAAGACGATAGACGATTTTTTTCAGGTCTGATATCTCTTTTTCCAATTCCTCCCTTTCTTGTATTGAAAGTTCGATTGTATTTGCTAACTCCTCTTCGAGATATCGAATTCTTTCCTCACGTAAAACTATATCCCGTTCAAGATTGTATGTTCGGCGTTCATAGTCTCTGTTTGATTGAGCCAATCGGTCAATTTCCTCATGGAGCTCCTGATTTGTCTGTATTAATTCATCCATGACGAATTTTTGTTATTTATAATAAATCAAAGTAATGGGAGAACCTGTAATTTATATTGACCCTCAAAGAGCTCATGATTTAGATAGAGAAATTGTTCTACAAAAATTATACTATTGCCCTGAAGGTTATTACCAAAATGCTGAAAGATTACGAGATGTTTGTAGAAAGGCTGGATATAACTTTCCACTTGTCATAATAAAAAAATGGCTCGAACCTCAGAAAATGCATCAAATTTATCGCCCTTCACCAAAGAATATACCTTATACCAGCTATTCTAGGATCTCAAAACCAAACAGTGTACATATGTGCGATTTAGTTGAAATACCATATGATGAAGATTTGCTCGAGAACACAAATTTATCGGATGAAAACAATGAAATATTTTATTATGTTTTATTAATTATAGATTGTGCTAGTAGGTTTAGAGATTTCGTTTTTTTAACATCCAAAAATAGCTCAGAAGTTGCAGATGCATTTAGGAGTATATATGAAAATCCTAATAATCCTCTTACATATCCTCGATTGTTGCAATGTGATGAAGATCGTTCATTTATGGGTAATGTTACTTTATTAATGAATAAGCATGGAGTTAGGATTAGAAGAATCAAAGCTCGCTTCAGACATACTAGCTTAGCAATTGTCGACCGTTATGCTGGACTTTTCACTTTGAGAGTTTTTAAGAATCAGTATGCGATAGAATTTCTCTTACCTAGTGGTGAACGCTGTAAAGAGTGTGAGCGATTTGCACGTAAAATTGTTGATAATATGAATAATACCTCAACTCGGTTAATTGGAATGAGCCCTAATGATGCCATGAAACTTGAACGGGTATATTCCAAGCCATCAGTAAAATATAATCGTCCGATTGGTATCAATGAACCCCAGTTGCCAAAAGATACCACTGTCCGATTTTTGCTTGCTAAAGGAGAATGGGAAAATGATCCTTTCGAACGGCGCAGAATAACAGATCCAGTATGGTCTCCCAGCCTACATAAAATCCGAAGAATTGTTGTCGGAAAGAATCCTCCGATGCCTGTTTTATATTATTTAGATGAGTCAGGACCTCAGCGTCCCTTCGTAAGGGAACAATTAATGCATATTAAGGAAGAGCCTATATTACCTCCCCGGTGGGTCTTAGAAGATAACCGAATGCGATCAAGGCACTCTTAATAAAAGTTGGCAAATCAACAACACAATAAGGGATTGTGATAAGAATTATACCCTCTTTGAAACAGAGTGCCCTCTTTTTCCAATCGCGTTGAATTTGTGCATCTAAATCACTTTGTCCTTGTGGATGAAAAAAAGGAATGATTTGAAAATGCTGATTGCCACTATACTCAAAAGCTAAGCGTAATTCCTCATTATATCCGTCAAGTTGTAAGCCCCTTAAAAATTTGGGTTTTCGGAGTGAAAATTTTTTATGTAATAACTCTTCGAAGATATATCGACATGTCCTTTCAAATATATGAGGACAACTATTGCACCACTTATAATTTCGTTTCATATCTCCATAAGATGCTTTCCATTGATGCTGATTTTTACAAATCCATAAATAAATATCCGAATTCGATTTGACTTTAGCTAGGCATTCACCTTCACGTCTTTTGGCATAAATAAAGGCATTAGTATCAATCTCATTACGATCTTGCATTTTTATAGTATAGCCGAAAAAAATAATATCACTCAATTTTAGATATTTTAGTTAAATATACCTTGGAGTATCACTTTTTTTTCGAACTTGAGAGAAAAAAAGAAAAAAGAGCGCGAGAGTATGAGTGAGGCAGATTTCCTAGAATACAAGCGAAATTTTGAGGCTAAAATGAAAGTTCCTACTACTCCGCACAAAAAAGAACTGAAAAGTAAATCTTTAGCTCTTATCGAATATATATAACCTAGCTAAATAGTAATTTCCGGAGCAGAGAGATTGTTATATTCAGCTAGTTATACATTTTAGGTAAGGGGATTTTTGTCGCCTCTTACAATAAGTGCAGGAAAAAATTCAAATCGAAAATTAATACTCTGATATCTAGATTATATAAAGGACCGTGCGGTCTCAGAAATATGATATATGGGATAAAGTAAGTAGTCGCGTTACAAATATACGAGATATTCGATGAATATTTTTGTGTTGCATAATTTTGATCGAGATATACTGTAGTTTCGGATAAGTAATCGGATTGTAAAATATAATACATATGTGATAGTATACTTAGAGACAACTTATGTCGAAAAATTTTGGGCCACCAAAGTAAAATTATTATAGGAAAGTTATACTATTGCGCTTTGATGGGACAAATGTGATATATTTTTTGGGCCACCAAAGTAAAACTATTTTGTGTACAGAAATTGCGCTTTGATGAGTCAGATGTGATATACCTCCTAATTATATATTGATAGATCACCAAAGATTTTCTGGTGCGAGTACTATTTCGAATAAAAAAGAGTGAAATGTCAGTGTTCTGAAATAGAGTACGCATATAATATATAAAATTATGCTTTGATGGGACACCAAAGATTTTTCAGTGTAAGTAATATTTCAAGCAAAAAAGTGGGCCACCAAGGAATAATTATTACAGATAAAAGATATATAAAATTGTGCTTTGATGGGTCACTAAATAAGTATTATTTCGAGTAAAAAAAAGTGGGACACCAAGGTAAAATTATTACAGATATATATATAATAAAATTATGCTTTGGTGGGTCACCGAGTAAGGATAACAAATTCGGCACTACGTGCCTCATCATCGGATGCTTTGGTGTATTACCAGATATGTTAACAATTCGGCACTATGTGCCTCATCCTCGATCGATATTTGAGTGTATTATACAAAGCTAGGATATGAATACTATTTCAGCACTACGTGCCTCAAACCTGGTCCTCATAGAGGAATTAACCAGAAAGCTGAGGGCACTACGTGCCCAGTTCGGGCATAGCCCTCACATCAGGTCCACAAATGACGACATATGACTGAATACATCATCAGATATATATATTTTTTTTTGCCCATGTGACCCAGCGATGGAAATTGGCCACGATCACCAAACCGGCAAATGATATGTCGCATATAGAATTGATGATGGAAATCGACTAGATCATTATTCAGATATATATCACAATGGCTCTCGAATGACGATACAAATATGATCTGCATATCACCTGAATCATTAAAAGGAAGTAAATATTAAGCTTATTAGAGGTCAAAATGGTTAGCTATAAAATAAGTAGGTGACAGTATACTCATAAGTAGGTAACAGTATACTCATAAGTAGGTAACAGTATAACGTAAGTAGATAACACTATATATATAGTGTTATCTACTTAATTACTTCTTTCAAATTATAACTCAAAGACTTGGATAATGAATCAATCTCAATGAAAAAAACAATTGTAAGAAAAGTATATAAAATAATTGATGAATTAAAAGTAATATGAAACAGCTCTTAGTAATATTCAAAAAGTGTAGGTTAAACAAAAAAACAATATGATAAAAAGAAAACATCTATATCATTTCAAATTGAATAAAAAATTCTTATAAAATGAATGGAAACTCAGTATAATTTAAATATAACATAATATACTTGATAATTAATTATTAAAATCTAATCAATTTGATCAATCTTTATAATAATAATAATAATAATGTATTAGATTTCTATTAGTGTTTTTCTTTTTGTTAATTTAATATTATAAATTATAATTAAAAACTCATACATATAATAATTAATATTAAGAGTTATTATATGAAATTTACTTACTTAACTTTATGAATATTGAATTATTGAATGAGTTATTATGAAATTCACTTACTTTGATTTAATTATGTGTGTTAAATGAGTTATTGTAATAGTTGATATAATATTTCTTAACAAAATCACAAAGTTTTAAATATTCTCATTATAAATAATACATGTAATGATAATGTGTTCATTCTTTAATATTTACACTTATCATTTCTTATGCTGAATTCTTTATGCTAAAAATGATTGGTCAACAAATATATTATAAAGTTTACTGCAACTATGATACATAAAATCTAAAGTCATCACCCATTCGACTAAAGATTGACAAAACTTTTAATGTGCGATTCTACAAGATTATGATATATTATGACTCATCTTAATCGGATGGGGTAGTGTCTAATAAATAAAATCACCTGATATTTGGCACTTCCCTTATTAAAAAGTTTATATTGGATACTATCCTATATGCCAACGAAATAGGAATTGTAATGTTATATAACCCTATCAACGTTGTTATTATATAATTAACAAAGTAAATATCTGAAATGACATCATAAATTTGATAATACTTTTCTAATATACAAATTATATCGACTCTAAACCAATTAAAATAATAATAAATTAAATTACGCTTATGATTATTGTAAATTTTTGCTAAACAAATAAACAAAAAATAAAAATAGTATTGGCTGTATCTTATTGTTGTTTATCAACCGCCTCCACTAATAATGGTTGTGAATCGAAATACAAAGTTCGTGTAAGGATATCCTCGCAATGATATAAAAATTGAAAATCTCCACGTGAGAAGAAGCACACCGGAAGTGTGTATATTGTCGAGGATTTCGCGTCAATCTTAGGCATTGCAAATGTTCATGTTAATACTAACTAAACTATATTGATAAATTTTATATTACATAGCTTTGCTTACCTTTGGCAATGGTGTTTGTAGTAATCCATTCCACACTAAACGTCCCGACAAATCATATTCCATTAAACCATCACTGTAACTCAGTACTGGTTGAATTCTGATACAAAGTTTTGCTTGTTTTTCTAAAGCGAAAAACACCATAAAGATTTACATATTTAAACATATTTCAAATTATCGTAGAGCATACAAAGAATGACTCTTTACACTAACCTTGCCTATTATGCACAACGAATCGGATATGAACAAACTCATTGACCGGACATCTGAATCGATTAAGTGATAACTTTACTACATGAGGAGCCTCTTGTATTTCAACAAAGAAGGAAATTTCATTGATTCGTAAAATATTCAACATAGACTTATTGAGACGTAGTGAGCGTATGTCAATTGTTCCCTTTTGATTACCTATTGGCTAAAATAAATATTAGATTTCGATGAGTTTGATTTTTTACATTCAGTTCATAATGACAAACTAAATTATACAAAACAAACAAATAATTCATACGTATTCCCAAGTAGCGGTGATTTTTTTTAATAAAAACTCGCGATACCAAAATAGTGATAAAAGTAATCTTTCTTGTTCTTTGGTCCCTTTCGGCTCTTTTGAAACTACAAATTGTTTGTCAAACAATGACGGGATAGGTTTCATGATTTCACTTTCAGTCAATGTAATTCGTTTGATGGGTAAAATAATTCTGTAATTTACGAAAAACTTAGTTAATGAAAAAAGATGAATTCATGTACTTATTAACAAACTTACCGCGTTGTCGCCGAAGGTTGTATAGATGTTGATACATTTACTTGACTCGGCGTGTCCACTTGATTAAAGTGAAAACATTTGTCACAATTTGTTATGTAGTAAAGAAAAAGATTTTTTATGAGACAAAAAAAACCAAACCTTCATCAACAGAAAAAATAACATCAAATGGTATATGCCAAACATTTCGAATATCAAAAGTAAGTAAGCAATATTCATTATCGAGCTCTAATTCGGATTTTTCATTAAATCGTGTAATCTTTAATAATTCCTCAATTTGCTTTTGATCTGATTTATCAATATGACCATTATTATTGTTTATTATTGATGAGCCATTATTGACGATTGGTTTGAAGTTCATAATATCCATCGTTAGGGGTTCGAGATGTTGATGGACTGTAAGGAGAACTGGATAGAATACTTGTCGCGTATAGAAAATATCCTCAGAAACAGAATCAGGTCGATCAATGTATCCATAATCGATTTGTATTGTGCCATATGTACTTATTAATATCAACAACAAAAAAGATAGCAAGCCGGTCAATCGCAAAATTTTTCGAAGGAAATTATTCTTGCATTTATATGTATAGATATTTACCATCCACGCTTGCCAAAGACATTTATGTTCAAGATCAGTTCATTATTGGACAGTAGATTCACTTTACGTTCCGTCTGTTCCCAAGAAAATACAGGTTGTCGATACGCATATAACTCCATTTCGTATGCCTCTTCTGCGGGCAAATCAGGCGAACTTAGAATGGCTTGCGCTTTTTCAATAGTAGAATCATGAAATGACAGATTTATAAAATCAACTGGAGTTTTGCCAATATTTTCTAGTTTAATGGTCATTTCTGTTCTTTTAATCATTGTTATAGAATATAAGGAGTCAGTTAGTATTCTCATTAGTATATGAGTTGATTATCAGAATAAAAGATTAGCATGTTTCATACTTTTCTCCTTCAAAAAGCATTATTGCACTATGCATTAACGACGTAGACTTTATTTTTATTAATGGCTGATCCGAAATTATTTCCACTTTTAGGAAATCCAAATCGTGTTCGCCTTGTGTTGGTGTTGTTAATGCTGTGGAAGTTGTAGTGGCGGTTGAGGAAGTGCTACATTGTGAATCTACTATAAGAAAAAAAATTAGTTACGAATATTTAATAAATCTTCAATAGAAAGCTAAAGCAACGTATATACCTCGTCGATGGTGATCAATGACGGCCAACCCACTAGAAAGAATTTCGAACAGATATAATTTAATCTTTTTTATTATACTCGTAATTGAGGTACAAAGATAATTACCTTTTTTTTATTCTTTTGTTATGCTCCTCTTCTTTTTCTTTCTTTGTTATTTCATCTTCTTTCGGGGGCAAAAATACACAAAATTCTTGTTCGGAGCATCCATAAACTTTAATCTTACATCCTCGAATTACCAACTCTCCAGCTTCTTTCGGAGTTCCTGACAATCGAAGTGTTACGGATGTATTCGCAGGTATAGAAGTGGACATGATATTAGGCTTAAAATTTATGCCATTCGTACTATATATATATATGTGTGTGTGTGTGTGTGCGTGTGTGTAATTCATTGTAAGTTTTCTTAGTCAAAATTTATATAAAATAACAGGAAAAATATCATATTACCTTATAGAAATACTTTGTATTTCTAAATCCACAGCGAAAGGATTTGCGAGGGTAACCATAAAATAAGCTGTTTCGTTGGCAACAAGATGAGTCTGCAAAAAAAGTCAATATGGAAAGCCTGATGCATATTAATAGCAAAAGAAAATGTATAGGAAAATAGCAAAAGGGCCTGAAAAAACAAGCAGTTTGCTTTTACCTGGACTGTTTCTGGTATTTTTTTGCCCCTCGGATTATATATAAATATCGTATCGACCGTCTCTATCGGCTCCTCGCTTGTGGAAAATAATTTCTTAGAATGTGGATAGGGAATTTTTCGAGAAGTTGGTCTATTGTATCCAAGAAAATATTTGATTACCATGTTCTTTTTATTATGGATTATTGTAAAAGCTCACATGCCACTTGTTAGAAAACGTACCGACATACTTCTATCCCCCGAACAATATTCATACCCCAATACTTTATATCCATCTCCAATCCTTGTTTTTTAGCTGAAGCGACAATTCGAGGCAATGAAATTGTTAGACGATGTTGCTCTTCTTTTGGCAAGTGCAAAAATAGTTTGCGCAGAAGCCTAGTGGTATATTTAATAGAAGAAGACAAATCTAATGAAGTATCGTTGTATTAATTTGTAATCGATTAATATAGAGAATAGTTTTGAGAATACAAATTCAGAAAATTAATAATATAAACCTGGTATTGCCTCAGACAATGATATCGCATCTTTTAGAACATCTATTTGTATTTCAGGCCATCCGAAATTTAGCAATGGTTCATCGTCGAGCATTGGCGACGCGCTTGATTTTTCTAGCTTGACATCATCTATTATTATTATTATGAAATAAGTAGATTTTAATGAAAATATCATTTCATAATCCAAAAATATATATTTTATTTAAGCATAATTGATATCATTTTATACCTCCGACTCCATATATATCTGTAAATTTTGCAATGCAAGACAATATACCAGCATCTCCTCCTTCAAGCAATAAATTTGTTGGGGGAGAAGGTGAATTTGGAGGTTTAGCAAGAAGCGGTACAATCAACAAAGCAGTTTGGCGCAGGAAAAACGCATGTTTTCGACGAAAATTGATTGTTGAGAAAATTGATGCCATTGTAGTTGCAATATATATCTAATAATTCACAAAGATACATATATTAGAATTGGTTACTCGTGACTTTTATAATTTCAACTTTGTACCTGCTCTGTGATGCTCATTTCTTCCACAAATGCTCCATATCCCTTCATTGCCCATTGTGCAATTTCTACTCTGGTAACACCACTAACTTGACTAAGACCCCATTTTTCGCTTAACCCTTTTTCTGGGGGTGGACCACCATGCACGATTAATTTCAAGGCGTCATCTCCCCATTGACCTACTATCCAAATGTTGGATAACATTTTTGCGAGCTTTAAACATGATTCTGTGTATACTAATGGGGGAACTTGATTGTAAGCTGAATTGGACGTTTTCGCATATAAAGTGATCACGTTCAAGTATTTTTCAGTAATGTCAGCCCAAAGTGGCTTTGGCACGATTGGTGATGATGGACTTGAAGGTGGATTCGTGTTTGGTGAAGGTGGAGCTTGAAGAACTTGTGGCTACACATTTGGTTGTTTCATCGTTAGATTTCATAGATTAAGAATTAATCAACTTTTTTTGTGATAATCACTCACCCCAATGTCTGCATGTAAATATGCTAACAGGATTAATGCTACACATAATCCTTCTATAGCAGCCGCTTGCCATAGATAATCAGAATTATTTCTTGTGGTATCAATTGCATTATAATAACTTTATGTAACAATTCGAATATTATTATATGAATAATTATTCGAATAAAAAGCTAGAAAAATTAATATAAAACAAAAAAATTTACTGCGTCACAGCATCCGGTAGCCTCCCAGACATCAAATATAAATCGGCAATCAATTTCTGAACTCGTCCAGGCGTCCTCCTCTTTAATTTCAAATCAGCTACGCTGCTAGGTACCATCGCTGCCTGACTAGCAAAATTTGCCAATGAAGTGGACGAAAAAGTACGTGAATGATAAAGATTGTCTTTTGTATTAACTCCTGGCGTTGTACCACCCATAGCTGCGGTAGTCATGGCAGTGGATGGAGGTGTCAACGGGAGTTGAGGTGGGGCCTTTAGTTCGGGAACTAGGTAGGATGTAGTGGTGATAGGTAAAGTATGCCGCGTTTGTGGTGTAGGAAGTGAATTTTGTGAATTTGATGATGGAATTTTAGGTGAATCAATTATCGATTTTTTCTCAATTGCTGCCGCCTAATAAATAAGGATTTTTGTATGATAATTTTTATATGATAATTAAATATTCTATAACAAAAAAAATTTGATTCCCTACCACATTGCCAAATTCTGTCAATATATCACTAGCAAAATCACAAATCATTGTACTCATATAAAATCCCATATTCCCAACATTTGGTATCATTATCAAGCCTTTCGTATCATCCGGTTGAGTTTCTGCAGGATTAAATGCAAAACAACGATGGGCTATGGCAGTTGGATACTTGAAGACAAAATAATGGGATAAAAAATGAATCTTTTTTTCAAGATACACATTGAAGATAATAATAGTCCATTTCTTGTACTCACAGTTTTGAGTATTTCGCTAAATTTACTGTAACCGTCAGGTAGATTTGACCATTCTTGGCAATCCATAATACCGATTACCTAATTATTCGTATATGATTTGATTAAAACGATGACACGCGTAAAACAATAAGTAATTCAACCACGAGCGTGTAATTTTAGGATTTACCCCGAATATTTTGCGATGCAATTGAAATTCTTCAAGGTACGCGTGCTCAGTTTCGTAACGCGTGGCAAAGTTGAAGTGGAGTTGTCCCTCATGAAAGGCCTGTGCACTAAACATTGCTTTTTTAAGGGACACCGATAAATAGAGATCGAAGAATTAAAATACGAATTTTTCATAATGCTGATGGTCTGCTTTCTAACATGTAAATCTGTAAACCACGCAAAAGTGATAAAAACTGTAGAAAACTCAATGCTCCTTTATTTTTGCTGATAGAAATTTTGTTAATCAAAACTAGAAATTTCCTTTTCCCATCTACGAAACCACTTCTTCCATTACCTACTTTTTTGAACACCTCGCATATCGGGAGTTACATCCCCTAATTTAACTACGCCAAATTTTTTGACCAACTCAACATGCTTTTGAAAAACTGAAGCTTTTATTGGGTGAACTGGTACTAAAAGAACTCGAATGCGTCCTAGAGCACTAAATGAGAGGGGGTCCATCGCGAAGAGCAGTTTTTGCAAGTCTAAAAACTTGGCAATTATTTTGGTGTTAGGATGACGTCAACGTTACTAAAGCAAGATAGTGGATTAGAATGCAATCCGGATCAAGTCAATCTGAATCAAATTAATTCACATTTTAATGATATTTTTCTTATAATATCAATCTAAAAAAGTTGATTATATAATTAGAAAGCTTTTACTATAGTCAACTCTCTAAATGCACATATTGTGTTTCTATTCTATAAATGCACATCTTGATTTGATTCCAAGTTAATAATATTATTAAGTAAAATATTCTCTATATACTCTTAGATTTTCTAGCAGTGTGTATTTATTTATATATAGTTAAAAAACAAGTTTTAGCTAAAAAAAATATAAATAAAAATTAATTAAAATTTTAAAATAATTTTTATTTATATTTTTTTTAGCTGAAACTTGTTTTAATTGATTGGATTTAGATCTTTATACTATATTTAGTACAATTGAAAATGTATAAAAAATTCAAAAAATTAATAATATAAACCTGGTATTGCCTCAGACAATGATATCGCATCTTTTAGAACATCTATTTGTATTTCAGGC